ACATATAGATACAAACAACTATTCCCTCTCTCACTCTCACTTAGGGATAATGCAGAGCAACCAATCAGACTAACATGCATGTTTTGAAAGGAGACCGAAGTAAACGGAGAAAACCTACGCATGGAGAGAACATTGAAACTCCACCCAGAAAGGCCACAGGCTGGGATTTGAAAACTATGTAAACTTTTTTTTTTTCTGAAATGTTTAATTTCTTCTCTAAAAAAGTTAAGTCAGGTCCTCTGGACGTTCAAAACACAAACAAACAAAAAAAAATGTTGAAACGTTTCGTCTTTCATCTGAAAGACGTCTTCACTCTGAGGTGCTGTATTCAGCTCAGTCTTATAAATAGCACCTTATCATAAGTGGATCAACCAGTTTGCTGCTGACAGCCAAAACTAGCTGTTCACATGATCAAGGAGGACCATCAGCCTAACAATGAATCATTAGCACCCTGATGGCTGCTTGCTATTCACAGAGGGCTGAGTGATACTAGCAATAACAGCATTGTAAGGGTGCATTCACACCAGCCCTGTTTAGTCCACTTTAATCGAACTCTAGTTCGTTTTCCTAGAAAGTCCGGTTCGTTTGGGGAGGTGTGAACGTGCCATCGAACTCTGTCATGGAACAAAAAGGTGAACTCTGGCCCGGGCTAAAACCTAGGTCTCGGTTCGGTAGAAGAGAACTCCAGCGCAGTTCGTGTACAGTGTGAAATATAAACAGACCGGGCCCCGCTCCACAAGCAAGAAGTGGAGTATAGCGCAGGGCAAACAAACACGCATTTCTCTTACCTTATATGGAGCCGTCAGCTGCCTTGTGTGAAAAACAATATTCTCCATGGTCTTTTGCCTCATCTTCCACTCATGCCGAGTCCATTTTTGGAAAATGACAAAATATAACTCCTAAAATTGCTAAAACTTGATGCCACTTCGATTTTGTTTTTATTTCCAGAAGAAGAAGAAGCGTCTTCAGAGGTTTTTGTGTTGTTTCTTTCAGTAGTTCTTGTTGTAGCGCCCCCCACAGGCGAGCGGGGGAATAGGTTGGTTCAACAGGTTGGCTCGACTGCACAGTGCAGTGTGAATGCAAACGCACCAGCTCAAATGTAAATAAATGTTATGAATATTGGTCCCCAACCAAACCGAGTCTACCAGACTATCAGGTGTGAATGCACCTTAAGAGGGGGACAGCTGAACACGGAGGCCTACACCCCTGTTTAATGACGGACGGTTTATTGTCACAAAGATGACTCCTCTCTCAAACCATCATTCCTCTCACCATCATTACTTTCTATCAAGGATGTGAACATCTTCAACTCTGAACGAGTGACCACTGCTAAGCGTGCCTGATCTGTACAGTTCATCACTTGTTAAAGTGGCACCGGGCAAGCAAGATCCTTCAGAAGGCACAGACCCAGCTGCTGAATGGTGAAGGTGAGACAGACCAATTTTACTATTGAGGCCTTGAAGGACAAAGAAGAGCACATTAAACAAAAACGAACAGCATGCCTAGATCAGACCACAATTCAGCAAGTGATGGACTGTACAGAACAGGCATGCTTAGCACAGCATGTCAAGTCCAACACTCAACAACAAAACAAGTTTAACTTGCTAATAACTCAGCAACACCATCATAATTCCAATAACAACACATTCAGTGTAAGACAATACTCCAGTAGTCAATTACATGCCAGGGAGACAAAATAGTGGGTGAAGAATTTATCTTACAGACAGCTCACCCAGCTGGAGACAGAGATTCTTGTCAGGGGACTGAACTTTGCGGTTGCACCAAGTAGAATTCCTCTGATGGAGATGATCATAGCCACAGACTCAGCCATCCGCAACAACAAAATTAAAGAGGGTGAAGCAGAACAACTCAGAATGAAAGTTTCAGCCTGCCTCAGCAATGCCAAACCACCACCTTCCAACATCAGTAGAGAGGAGAGGGATACACTCACCACTCTTAGCAAGGACAAAAACATGATCTTTCTCCTAGCAGACAAAGGAAGTTGCACAGTGATTTTGAACCAGAAAGACGATCATGAGAAAGTTATGACACTCCTTAGTGATTTAACCACTTATGAACCTCTGAAAAGAGATCCAGGAAGTGGTTACAAGAAGAAGTTGATAGATTGCCTGAAAAATTTGGAGCAGGACAAGGCTATAGACCGTTTTCTGTACCACAGACTGTACCCAGGGGAGGCCACACCTAGTCTGTATGGTTTACCTAAAATCTACAAACAAGGTGTACCTTTAAGACCAATTGTTAGCATGATTAACTCTGTCACTTACAATGTTTCCAAATATCTGGTGTCTGTACTCATCCCTTTAGTTGGCAGCTCAGAATACCACATACAGAATACCATGGACTTTGTGGATAAGGTGAGGGATGTCATCATGGAGACTGATGAAACAAAGGTCTCTTTTGATGTCACATTACTCTTTACATGCATTCCTGTTGATGATGAAGTAGAGGTGGACAGTTTAAGATTAAAATCAGGCACCACTCTGAGCAGCAGGACCACACTTTCCACAGAACAACTGTGTCAACTCTTGAAACTGTGCCTTCAGTCAACCTACTTCATATGGGGAGCAATATTATAGGCAGAAGCATGGGTGTGCTATGGGGTCTCCAGTTTCTCTTATTGTTGCCAACCTGTTCATTGAGGAGGTAGAAAAGAGAGCCTTGACGTCTTTTTCAGGGACACCATCAAGTCATTGGTTCAGGTATGTTGATGACACCTGGGTTAAAATTAAATCTCAAAAGTCCAACATTTTAATGACCACATCAACTCTGTGGATAAATACATCAAGTTCACACGAGAAGATGTAAAATATGGCAGGTTGGCTTTCTTGGTTTGTGAGGTCTCAGTCTCTGATAGAGGACATTTGCAAACTGAGTTGTACCACAAACCCACCCACACAGACCACTATTTGCAGTTTGACTCCCATCACCCTTTGCAGCACAAGTTAGGAGTAATCAAGGACTCTGTACCACAGAGCAGACAGCGTCCCCACTAACCTGGAGCCAGGCAGAAGGCGAAATCCCACACAAGACAGGCTCTAGAGCAATGTGGTTATTCTAACTGGGCCTTCCTGAAAGCAGAGAAGAAACCCAAACAGGACTCCAGTCAGCCATCAGGTGAAAAGGAGGAACCCAGACCCAGACCAGTGGTCATTCTGTATGTTGCGGGAGTATCAAATAAACTGAGACGTTTATTTTCTAAACACAACGTCCCAGTGGCTTTAAACCCCAAAATACATTACGGCAAAGACTGGTTCATCCCAAAGATCCAGTCCCCCGGCACAAACAGAGTAATATTGTGTATGCTGTTCAGTGTCAGGAGGGCTGTGATCAGTCTTACATTGGGGAAACTAAACAACCACTGGACAAAAGGATGGCCCAGCACAGAAGAGCAACACCATCAGGCCAGGACTCTGCGGTATACACTAATCTCCAGGCCAGTGGCACTCGGTCAGGGATGAACATGTTCACATCCTGAATAGAGAGGAATGATGGTTTGAGAGAGGAGTAAAGGAGGCCATCTTTGCGAAAAGAAATCGTCCATCATTAAACAGGGGTGGAGGCCTCCGGGTTCAACTGTCCCCCTCTTACAATGCTGTTATTGCTAGTATCACTCAGCTTCCTGTGAATAGTAAACAGCCATCAGTGTGCTAATGATCCATTGTTAGGCTGATGGTCCTTCTTGATCATGTGAGCAGCTGGTTTTGGTTTTCAGCAGCAAAACTGGTTTATCCACTCTGAGAAGGTGCTATTTATAAGACTGAGCTGAATACAGCACCTCAGACTGAGGAAGTCTTTCGGATGAAAGACGAAACGTTTCTACATTTTTTTTTTTTTTTTTTTTTTTGTTGCTTTGTTTTTTGAATGTCCAGAGGACCAGATTTACATTTTTTAGACTGTCAATATATTTTCAAGGTTCTTTATTCTCTGCTCTCTTCAGGTCAATGGTGAGGTTTTGCCTCAAGTAGAGGAGTTCAAGTATCTCAGGGTTTTGTTCACGAGTGAGGGAAGAATGAAACATGAGATTGGTAGATGGATTGGTGCAGCATCTGCAGTATTTAGGACTCTTTACCAGTCCATTGAGGTAAAGAGGGAGCTGAGCTGTAAGGCAAGGCTCTCTGTTTACCGGTCAGTCTACGTTCCTGCCCTCACCTATGGTCATGAGCTCTGGATACTGACTGAAATAATTTGGTTGCAGACACAGGTGGCTGAAATGAGTTTCCCCCGCAAGGTATCTGGACTCTCCCTTAGAGATAGGGTGAGAAGTTCAGTTATCAGGAGAGACTCGGAGTAGAACCACGGCTCCTCCACATCGAGAGGAGCCAGTTGAGGTGCTTTGGGCAGTAAGGATGATCCCTGGGCGTCTCCCCAGGGAGGTGCTTCGGACATGTTCGACTGGGAGGAGACACTGAGGAAGACCCAGGACACACTGGAGAGAAGATGTTTCTTGGTTGGCCTGATAACACCTTGGGGTCCCCTCAAAAGACCTAGAAGAGGTGGCTGTGGAAAGAGATGTCTGGGCCTCCCTGCTCAAGCTGCTGCCCCTGCGACCCAACTTCGGAACAAGCGGAAGATAATGGATGGATGGATGGTTTATACTTTTTTTCTAGGGAGAAATGTTACTTGATTAAAAAAGACACTGCTGCACAGAAACATTCATATTTATTCATTGATTCAGCCGCCAGTCAGAACTGATCAGATCAGACAATCTTCACCTATCGTGACAAATTTAGTTATTTGATAAACATGCAAATAAAATTTGATTAATCAATATTAATTAAATGGCCTGTAATTAACTTGATTAATTTCTTTCATTATGTCTAAGACAGAATTTTCAACTAACAAAGACTTTGGAACCACCAGTGTTGGAGCCTAAGTTGTCCCATGTCTAAAGAACATATGTAGCTTGGACATTGGAAATCTTGTTGGAATCCAGCAGCTCTTTCAGGTAAAATGACACCATTGACTGGACAAATTCTAACCTGTTTGACCCGATCTGGGTTAACTGTGGTCTGTGGCTGCAGTATGCTGACTGGTTCTGGTTTCTGGGCGCTCTGGGGCATCTCACGGACTTTCTCTGCGATAAAGTTGTGGACACTGTTGAGAGCTTCGACGGTACCTTGTATGAGACATACTCGTTCTGTTGTTCCTGTGATGAGAGAGAAAGAAGAGGGCACAGCACTGATGAATCACTTTGAGTGGATTCACATCTGAGCAGTTTGTTTGAGGCTAGTTATCTACACCGTAATAACAACTGGTCATCAGCATCAGGAGGTACAACTGGAAGACTGAACACTCTGTCATGAGGGATGGATGGGGGGATTCCTTCTCAGTAATGTAACATCATCGTGTGTAGCTGAGTCTGTCCTTGCCTTGCAGTGTTAATTGACTAAACACATTTGTTCTTTCTTCAGGCTTCTTTCTACACCCACATTAACAATCCAACTGGCATCCAGTTGCCATGGTGAATGGTCTGAATGGTGAAAACAAGGTGATGCAACAGTGAAAGTTTTAAATGCTTTTTATTAATTCTTCAGTTATTATTATTAGTGTATTGTGTGTATATATATAGTTTTCTCTCTTTAATTTTACTCATTGCTAGTTGTTGTTGTTGTTAAGCACTTTGATAACAGGTTCTGTTTTAAATGTGCTCTATAAGTAAAGTTGACTTGACTTGACACACTTTTTTACTGCACTCCATGTTTTGTTTCCTGTGATGTTGTTGGTAGCATCTGACTTTTTTTGTAAGATTGTTAAATGTTTATGATGGGTTTTGTCAGTCGGAATCTGAGAACCATCCAAGATAAAAGTTTCATTTCTCCTACAGACCAACTCAGATGTGTAAATGTAAGAGACCACCTGAAGAAAAACATTTATTGCTCATATCCTGATGCATGCTCAATAATCCAGGTAGAAAAATCTAAAAAAG